AATAAAATAAAGAATAAAATATAATAATAAAGAAGAAATAGAATGATAGAATAAATTAAATAACATACAAACAATAATATAAATAAATGTATTCAATTTAATTCAATTAATTTTATTGTAATAACCATTTCATTTGTTTATCAACTTTTTTTATTGCTTATTATTATATTTTAATTATCAAAACACTCTATTGGTATTCTTTTATTTTGTGTTAATTCTTCAACACAACCACATCCATAGAAACATGATCTCCCAAATGATGTAATTGTTGATGGTATATTAATTGTTGTTAATGAATAGCATTTATAAAAACATCGATTTCTTATTTCATTAATTGTTGTTGGTAGATTAATTGATTGTAATGATGAACATCCCCCAAAACAATAACACTCTATTAATCTAATTGTTGATGGTATATTAATTGATGTTAATGATGAACATTTATAAAAACATCGATTTCCTATTGATGTAATTGTTGTTTGAATATTAATTGATTGTAATGATGAACATCTAGAAAAACATCCATCTCCAATTGATGTAATTGTTGTTGGTATATTAATAGATGTTAATGATGAACATTCATAAAAACATCCATATCCTAATTTAGTAATTGTTGATGGAATAGTAAATTTATTAATATCTTCTTTTATATAATTCTTTCCATTTATCATTTTTAAATGTTCTGGTATTGAAATACTAACTAATATTGGTTCATTTATAATTATTTTTTCTTCACTTATATATTTTACATTTTCGATATTTATATTAGTTAGTGATACACATCCATCAAAACAATCATTTCCTATTGATGTAATTGATGATGGTATATTAATTGTTGTTATTGATGAACATCCCCCAAAACAATTATTTCCTATTGATGTAATTGATGATGGTATATTAATTGTTGTTAATGATGAACATTCATAAAAACACAAATTTCCTATTGATGTAATTGATGATGGTATATTAATTGATTGTAATGATGAACATTCATCAAAACAATTATTTCCTATTGATGTAATTGATGATGGTATATTAATTGATTGTAATGATGAACATCCATAAAAACATCCATCTCCTATTTTACTAATTGTTGATGGTAGATTAATTGTTGTTAATGATGAACATTTGAAAA